GTGCCCACCCCCCCCGCCCCTGTCTGGGGAAATCATGAGTGTAATTCTGGGATCGTTAGCCAGCAACAGGCTGAGCATTTGGTCATCGAGTGGGGGGAGCAGTATCATTGTGTGTCACTCATTCTTCCCCCTCCTCCAGAATCGCTGGCCCGGAGCAGGCTGGGCTTTTGGTCATCGGGTGGGGGGGGCAGTGTGTCACTGTGTATCACGTATTTGTATATAGTATTGTTTTTAATATTATTGTAGTTTGTTTTTGTAGTTTAGCTATTAAATTGTCCTTATCTCAACCCACGAATCCTCTTTACCATTTAACCCTTTTATTCTCTCCCCTGTCATTGGGTGGGGGTGGGAATAGTGTGAGCGGGTGTGTGCGGCTTGGCCCCGAGCCAAGGGCTAACCCACCACAGTTTAGTATCTAGATACATTAATATCATAGACTACTGAGAAATCCCTTCTTATGAAAACAATGCCCAGAGAGAATATTTGTCCATGTAAGACTGCAGAAAATAAAACAGTGAATACTGCAGTAAGCAATTTGTGGAGTCAATGCAGATATGAAACTCTTATATCTAAATAAATTGTAACCAACTATAAAACATGTTTCTTACCGAAGCTTTCTGGGTCCTCTTCCCACATCATTAATTCTTCCTCTGTTAGCAGGAAATAGTGAGTGACTAATCTTCTACATATTTCCATTAGTGTTGGATATGTGAAAAACGCTGTCTTTATCTTATGTGCTTCAAGAGTTTCAGGACTGCTATCTGAAATAAAACGCAAAAAATTCCAAATTACATTTAAGTGCCTTAATGATCAAATAGTAGTCCAGTAAAATCAGAAAGAAATCAATAGATAAGGAATTCTTATCCTCAGAGAAAAAGATAAAACACATTTTCAGGGCAGACTTTGTTAACAGACTTTAAGGTGCTACTTTTTTAAGCAAGTTAAAGCACTAAATTAGTTTACTTTTAAGAGAGTTCTCTAACAGCACAATTAGACTGAAGGGTTGTTAAGGCTTCACAAAGTTTTCTAATGTTTTTAAGCTACTATGTTGATGGAAAGAAGAACTGTTTGCCTGCTGCTATTGGTATTTTCTTTCTATTTAGCATTACTGAACTAAAAAAAACAAACACAAATAATTCAAAGAAAGTTTCATTTATACCTATGTAGAAAGTTTATCCAAATACAATCTTAAAATAAACCTGTGTTTTTCACGAGTTAACATTGGTTAAAGAAAGGAACAATAAAACCAAATAGTGTATGGTATACAACCAATACAAATACTGTATGCTAGTCAGAAATTAAGAAAAATACATTTTATATTTTATTTTTTTTATCACCCTGTTCTCAAAAAGTGGTATAGCTTTTATCAGAATGTGCTATACTCTTCTTGTCTCAAGCGATCATATCTCTATTTCAAAAATTCAAACACAATGCCAAACTTCTGCAAGTAGAAATCTCTATTAATAATCAGTGGATTTAGGACATTCTAATGTATTATAAAATTTTGGAATAACGTAGTTCAATTCTATTTTTCATTATTCTTACATACAGCAGTGTATGAAGATTCAGAATGAAACAGTCCTACAAAGCAGAACATATAAAGTGCTTTATATTCAACTGCATGTCAAATTCACTCTGTTTCTGTATCTAAGAGTACTGCTATTAATTAGAGCAAATATCCCATTTTATCAAACATTTCTCAAGGGAAAGATGCATCAAACCATCTGATAAAAATAAACCAAATTCTGTACCTCAATACTTTTAAAAAAGTTCAATGAAAATTAAAACAATCAACGAAGATATTCATGCTCCTTCTGTACTTAAAATTACTTTACCAAGTCAATGTATATATATATCTAACTTAATATTTTAATCATAAAAATAAGAATTATCAACATAGAGAGAGAAGCATATTAACTATTAAAACATTAAGTGTCTCAAAAGAATGTCTTAAAGAAGCTTTACTGTTAGGAACAACTAGTAAAAATGTTTCTCAAGATATAAAAAAAGTTTTAAGTAAATAACAGCATTACCTTCAATATTTTTGGATGTCTTGTAAGCATAATTTTTTACAATCATCTTAATGAGATTCATGCACTGTACAATAAACCGCTCAAACACAATTCCTTCACCGGCCTCTGTGAAAACATAGCTTACAGCAAACTCCAATGACTTCTGAATCAAAGAGGTAAATGAAAAAGGATGTTGATCCAGGAAGTCCAAAAGCTAAAAATTAAGGAAGTAGAAGAGCAAGAAAGATAAATCAAATTACTTTTTGTGCAAGTCTTATTAAATGCTTTCACAAAGTAGTTATCACAAACAAGGGCCAATTTATAGAAAATTATAGAAAACTAAACACAGACAGGAAATTAGGACGAGATCAGTATCAATGATTAATGAAGCATTATTTTGCCCTGAAATTCTTGTTTCATGTTCAGAATTACCTTTTTTAAAGTTTAAGGAACAACACCCATTTTCAGCTAGACCAGCTTGCTAGCCACACAGTATATAAGAGGTATCAGCCACACTTAAAACCCTGAAAATTTTAGCAGATAATTCATATCTATTAGAATTACTGTAAGTGAAAGAGGCATGACAGAAATAGCTTTTTGTTCTTTTTTTCTCCCCCTCCAATGCAGTACAAGCACTTGCTTCTTCAGCCTAGTTGTTCCAGCTAGTGGTCTAGAATGCACTGGTAAATTCCTTTAATTTCCTCTACTACTGCAAAAATGCATAAGGCTAAATTCTTGCATATGAACTTCTAGGTGGTAGATTACCTATTAATAAAGTGTATTTTCTCTTCAGGTCTATGAAAAAAGATGCACGTGCCTCACATACTTTGTTTGTTAGTTAAAAGTAAGAAGTAAAAAAGTGTTGGGTCAAAGCACCTTCAGTTAAATTTTGGTAAAGCCAACAGGTGTCTCCCACTTCTTATAAATATACTGAATATTTAAATAAGATCCAGGGCCTCAAAACAGAACCTGAAGACAATGGGAATTATGTACATTTTGTATTTTTTAAAAGCAGTAAGGAACAATGCTAAAATTACCTTCCAATAATATTTGCAATAAATGGTTTCACAGATTTAGCTGACAACTCAAAATGTATTCTATAACACAAAACTCACAGAAGGTAAGAGTTTTTTGTTAATTTTCTCTCGATAAACTAAAAGTGGCCAGTTATTCCACAGAACTAACAGGGCCTTAGCAAAAGCAATCTATCTACCTATAAAAGACAGGATGAAAATTTTACCTCTTCTTTATTTGTCAGTGCTGAGATCAATGTTCTAGCAAAACTTCAAGACTTCTTTTTTTGAGCAAAATACTAGCTAAATAATTTACTTACAGAATGCATTTAATTCTGTTTGAGCTAAAGAAATGTATTCTTCACTCCTGCAACTTATCATAGAATCATAGAATCATTAAGGCTGGAAAAGACCTCAAGGATCATCAAGTCAGCCGTCAACCCACACCACCTAACTCACTAAACCATGTCCCTAAGCACCACATCTACACATTTCTTATGTCAGCATGATTAAACAGACACCCTCTTCTTTAAAAACATTTCAAAAATATATTCCATAGCGAAGAAGTTTTAAATTGCAGTACCTGCATTTTCTTTAAGAATCTGAAACCTATTGGCTTTAAGGCACATACATATCTGAATGGAGACTGCTCCTCCAGAACAGTAAGCTATTCAGTAACTGAATGGAGAATTTACTTACCACTTTAGTGAACAGAATTATAATCTTTTCTAGACGATCTCTGCATACGTTTTCTGCTTTTATACTTCTACCTGGCAAATCAGATATTTAACAGCTATCATTTTTTCAGACTTTCTTTTTCTTTCTGGATAGCTAAGTTTTAAAAAATTAACACCGGACAACAAGTTGTTTTATCTGTAGTTCAGGGATTATGGCAGCCAGAAAAAAAATTGTGTGGCAGAGTAAGTCAAATTCAAGGTAATGAGTACTGGGGGAAAGGTGGGGAGAATCTTTAACCATGGCTGCCTGTCTCAGATCCCTATTCTTCCTGTTATAAAGTACATATAGATGAATGCGTTCTTATTTCCCATCTGACACTTACCAAAATACATGGCAAACTCCAGGGGAAAAAAAAAAAACCCACAAAACAACATGAAACCCTCACAAAGAAGAAAACTCAAGATGATGTGGGTTTTAGTAGCATCTACATATTTTAATATGGATACTTTGTCAGTCTATGGCTTAAGTTTTTTTTTTTTTTAACTGGCATTATCACACCAAGTATAATTTTGGTGGGATTTTAGTCTGTTAATATAAAAACCAGTTTCAGCAGCATTTAAAGTAACAGCTTTGCACTTATAAAAACACCTTGCACCTAAATAATTATTGATGATGCACTCAACTGTATTACATATTCATCCAGCTTCTAATATATAAAAAACAATACAAGGAATAATATCCAAATACTTACTGCACTCCAGAAACTGTTTTAGCCGTTCAAATACTGCATGTAGAAAACCCTGAAAAACATAGAAGTATATGTGCCTTTTAAAGATTAAGCTTATTTTGCAGTGTATTATGAGAAGACAGTTGAGTCAAACTGAAGTCAGTTCAGATGTGTTACTAGGTCAGACCTCAGGCATCACTCTATCACTGTTAACTGAACTAACTGATTTTCTTGGACAGTTTCCTCATGAAAAAAATAATTAGCTAGCTAGCAGAACACATATATGATCCAAACTGACCTTATTAGTACCACACAAACAGCATAGTATAGCTAAATATAGACATATGCTTTACAACCTGCTTATCCAGCCCTTTCCTGCTCTCAGCCGCCTAGTTAAGAATGCAGGCTGTAAGGTAACCAATTCCTCCAGCAAAGCAGGCACTGTTTGGGGTTAAGGGAGATGCTTGGGTTTCTTCTTTTTTTGCCCCCTTGATGGTCTGCATACCACAGGCTTTCCTCTCAAACGGACAAACTCTAATTAACAGGATTTGATAGGACAAACATGCCATTAGATTCATCATTAAATGAAAACATTATCTTCAAATGATGGTGGAAGAGCACAGGTAAGACATCTCATAGTAGGCAACAGGAGTGTCACTATCATGTGACATGTAAATTGGAGGAGGTACTTTTTTTTCTTTTTAAACATCATGCCACTGGTGTCACAGTATTTAGGATCTATCCAGGATCTGTCAGTTCTTAACTGATGGGAGGACAACTTTGAAAACATATTGCTTGATCTTCTTTTACATAACACAAATGTGTGCTTTTCAACGATTTTTAAACATAGTTCTAAAAACATCTGAAATCATCACAAAAGATTTCTAATCTAGAACAAGAAACAGACATATGCCACTTACCATCACCTCTACATTCCAGTGAGGTTCTACAAACCCATGGACTGTCAGTTTACGAAGAACTAGGAAAAAAAAAAAGTTACTTGTGTAGATATTTCTTAGCCCTTGTTCTGACAGATTTTAGAATGTGAGTACAGTTACAGTCGCTGTGCCCTTCTTCCAATTCTCCATATTAAAAGATACACTTAATTTTGGGTCTTTGGATGCCTCAACAATACCCAACATGAATCTAATCTTACTGAAATTACTTTCAAATTCAGTATATTACGCATAAAATCATGAAGAGAACGCCAAGAATTACTGAATCAAGAAGAATTCTACAAAAGCTCTACGTATTCAACCTTTGAAAGGTTCTGCAGCAGGAAAAGGGCCAAGTACAGTCAACTAGGGCTCATAAGCCATCTTATGAATTTTCTCAGGTTTATCACTGCCAGTAAGCCAGGGAATCCGCATGCTGCACCTACTGAAAGAATTTGAGACTGGTATAATCTACATTGCAAGCACGGCACACAAACCTCTTAGTTCTCCAAAGCAGCAAAATGCAGTAAGGATGTGTATTCATCTCACTGCCAGGTACTTGAGCATAAAGTCTCATAAAATCTAAACTGACTGCTAAGGCTACCTCTTCACTGAGCACAAGGTGAACTTAACGCAACAAAATTCATAGCTCGTCTTCCTTGGTTAAGGGCCTATTGACAGACAGATGGAAGCTTAAATTACAATACACGTAAAAAATCATCCTGTTATGCCCTCTTCTTTGCGACCTCCTAGACTTCGACTTCTCACAACTTGCACATCAGAATGGTACATACAGTGACACAAGTGTACTTCCTTCCCCTTTCCATGTGAACTATCCTCCTTCCATCTAGCTAAAGGTACAAGTAAAATAAACCAAAATTACTGGTTTTCCCAATGAGCATGGATTTGTTAGAGAATGCCAACTCTTTACCAAAGAAGTTTTAATTGTTCACTGTGAAGAAACCTACCTGATTTCTTATATTTAATATCATTCTATATTATTACCTTTCAATGACAACAAGGCTCTTTCTAACGAATTTGTGGCTGCAGCTTCATTCTCTGTACAAACTTGCTGTAAGAATGTATCGGTGTGATGATTCCACAAGGAACACGCAAAGCTATAAATACCTGATGCAAGCTGCAAAAGGAAGAAAGAGCAACAATACATTTGTTTTCCTGAATTTGGCTATAGCATAACAAATCCCTAAATTTTAAAGGCACATTTATACTGCTAAATTATTTAATCCACCTTCTTACACATCACAGGCCACAGTGTTTCACATGCTTCATTGCTGTACTGAGTTGTAGTGATCCAAAGGTGTTTCCCAGAAAAATGTCTTAATTTGAAGATGTTATGATAGACTCAGCTGCTTCCCTGACTACTTGGTCTATGACTCTACCACTTTAATGAAAATCAGGTAAAGGAGGCCTAAATGGTTACCTTTAAATACAGCCACCGGTCTACAATACAGTATAAGGCCTCAAAAAACTGTCAGCTCTCCTCATTACCTCCTCTCCCACAAGACTTACACTGCTTGTCTTACAGAATAGTTAATATCAGCTTACTCTGTGACACAGCAGTTACATGCCTAACTTGACTTAAAATAGCATTGAACAGTGCCTACCCTAAAACTAACTTTATTTCGTTGATAGCTGCAAAGCTTGACTTTTTGCCTCAAATTATTTAAAATAATGACAAATGGTTTCTAATCAGCTAGCACTGAACAAATCTCAAACTTAATTCACATTAGAGTTTCCAAACAGTGCTTACCTCAAAGATATCTGAAGTATAAACAGAAGATAAAGTGTATCTCATTCAGTTATGGCAGCACTTGACAGCTTCATAGTTCAGGAAGAAACTGCACTTAGTCTGCTACACATTACAGCAATGTAATCTAAACCACATATGACCTTTTTATTTGGTTCTTTTGACTTAGTAACGTTCTTACAGTAGAACTCTTGCTAATTATTTAGTGATGTGTTTGTGGAGTTGGAAAAACACATCACTGAACAATTATCAATAGCTTTAACCTAGTCATGTTTTGGGGGTTGAACAAATGTGAATTCCCTTTACTACGAGAGCAAGGAAGCAGACTACATTGTCCAAAGTTGCTGTTATAAAAAAATTAATCCTTCAATGTGAACCCGACAGTGCCAGGTGCTCAGGAAATTTTCTTTTCCCACCTAAAGTTAAAAAAAACCTCTGAACACGCACGCACACCGGACACACACAGACAGACCCCCACACACTGACAGATGGACACACAATGTTCCCAAACACAGTGAACGGGATGCACTGAAAATTTTCATTCATGTCAAATCAGATGATAGAGGAACTTTGGATATTCAACAAATCCATAAGTTAAAGCCAACATTTAAACATAAAAATCCTGCTTAAAGAGTACACCTATTAAAATGTAATTTCAATGACATTTTTCACCACAACTGCCTTACAAATACAGAAAAAAATATTATAAGCCTTTTCTTTACATGTCTGAAGTTGTCTCACTCTATGAACAAAAGAATAAAGAAAATATCATGCTGGAAAAATGGCATTCCATATAGAAAAAGGTTCATACAAACTTAATGAGTTTACTGGAAACACAAAAACGACTGAAGGCAAGTGGAAATACAGCAAAGATACTGTTGGACATGATAACTTTAACCACAAATGCTGGACCTTATGACCTCTAAATTCCTTTTTGCTCCTCTATTGAAATGGCATGGATTTGGCTATTTTATGAAGGTGGGGCTTTGGGACTGGGTTTGATTTTTTTGCCACAGCCTTGAGGATTAACAGTATTTTCAGCTCCGTAACCAGGCTATATAAGCAACATCTTGATTAAGGAGAGCTCTAGAAAATAAGCCAGCATCTCGCTCGCTCTTTATTGCTTTGGAATTAGTATCTGTGAATATTCCAAAACCTGTATTCTTCAATTATCCAGATCACGTACAACAGACTAATAAACTTCAAAAATATAATCAAATATTTCCTATACAGAGATTATATTCATCCATACCTATACATGGCTGACAGAGAAAACACTGTCCCTCTACACACACATCTCATAGCAACATTATCAGTTTCAGTCCTGTCCTTACAAGAGACAGCCTTCTGTTCCTCAGATACCTTAATGATCACACAGCCAGAAATTTTTTTCTACATAGACAAACAGGTAAAACTTCAGAAATAGTCTTCATTACCTGCACTGTAATCTTTTCATTAAAATGGAGGAATAAAATAAAATTTTGAAGATTCAGATATAATATGTTTGGAAAAGATGTATAACTCACTTAATTCAGTTAACTGTACTACATCATTGACTAACTCCAAATGGGACTGGAGATCCAACAGCCTACAGCCAAACATAAATTTGTGTTCTAATCAGTGGATTCTTACAATGGAGAACGTAAGCTGCATGAGACAAGATTTGGTATTTGCAGTCACATCTCACCTTTTAATTAACCTGAAGAAAGAAACTGACCTGCAAAAACTCCAAACACATTCCCACTAATGAAAAAACCCAAAAATACTGTGGTATGCAAGCCTAAACACCTGCATTTTTTAAAGACAATATTGAACTATCAGCCCAGAGCACACTTTCAAAAACACTGCAAATTCATACATAATGAGATCTGCTGCATGGCATGATAAAATAACGCTGATACGTAGACACTGTTCTGCAGATGAAGTTCTGCTCCTTAGCACAAGTCATTACAATAACACTCAAACTGCGTGCAAAATAAAGGTATCAAAAACATTTCACCTAGAAACTGGCTTCCAGTTATTTCATATTATACATATATCCAGAGAGCACTTCTATTTCAAAGGTCAAAGTACCTGCCATTAATGCACTGCCAGCTAATGATGGGAAGTGCCAAGCACATACAATACATGGTTTCCATGCTCTACAATATTGCATCACATTGCTTACATCATAAAAAAGTTTCCTATCTGCAGCAAGCCGTTTGGATGACAGGGTCTTTGTAACGTGATAAAAGGTAAGTAGTGCTCTATGTTGTCGAAGATCATCCTGGACCTTCACAGATTCTAGGAGAGTGGGTATAAGTTCTGGCCACTGCCTTGGGCAATCCACTCTGGCAACTTTAGCAATCAGCACAGAGATCTGAGTCGCTATCTGAAAAAAAGCAAAACAAAACACAGATACCACAAGTCAAAGATCATTTAGGAAATGAAAACATTAACAGCCAGATGAAATCAGAATAAAAAACAAACCTAATATGGATTGTCAGATTTGTGCATGTTTTCTCTAAATATTTTTAAGTTTGTTGAATGCAAACAAATGTGGAGAAAAATAAACGTCTTCCACTTTATGTTCATAGTAAGTATTTACATAAAATGCCAAGCTGATCATCTTGTTTAAATTTTATGTAAATACCACCACATTTATTTGTTCTAGAAATCACATAAATGGAAAAAAATAGGTATTTGGGAAACAGTTTTTACTCAGTGATCTTTTTCTTACTTTCTACAAACAACCTGCTGAATACATATTACCCTTATTTCTGCTATGGCTCAGTTTTAGCCTTTAGACACATTCCCTCCCCCTAGACACCTAGTCTTTGCAGCACATGCACATGGCAAACTGAGTGAGATTACACAAAAAGATAGCTAAAGGATTCCATCAGAAGACAGGACAGATGGTGGTGATTAGGAGCAGGGTTTGTTCAGATACAGGTACTGACCAGTCATGGTTTACACATGACTGGACCTTTTCAGACTCTTTCTGTCTATTCCCCACTTTGCTGCTCCACAACTCTCTTCCCCTAAACATGCCTTAATAAATTTTGTGTAGTCCCTCTAATTCCACCTCAAACATCAAAAACTTCGTGTTCCTGCTTCCCAATTCTTATCCTGTCCACATTGAAAAGGTCCTTGGCTGGACAACACTAATGAAGCAGACACTCTCACCTTCAACATACCCTTACGACTACCTCCACATTTCCAGCTTAGGGAAGAAGTCCACTTCTTGTGCTATCAAAAGGCATCCAAGAAATTTCCGGGCATAAGAGGGAATAGTCATCCCCTCCTTTACTGCTTCCTTATCTGTTTAATCTGAAGTCTGACCACCGCACAAAACTTCCCACAATATACATTCCTACCCACTGGTTTAGGAAAACATTTGCAAGGAAGAGCTAGGAGTCTTAACTATACTCAGATCAAGCGATGCTGATTGGCAAGAGGGAGCAAGTAAACTCTTCTCCATATGTGGTACAAGAAAAAACCTCTCCAGGGGTGCCAAGAGTTTTTTCCTTGAGGACTGGCCTTTTACGTGAAAAAAAATAAATCTGCTGTCATACATTTCAAGGAGTATTTTTTCCCATTTCCTCCATATGGTAAATATCTTCAGAGGGCATTGAAATTATGCTCTCAACATATGGCATGTTCTTTTTTTCTTCTTCCCCCTCCCCTGGAAGTCAGCTTATATCATTGCATCTCACTACTATGTCTGATTCTTATTTATTTGGGTTGTTTTCCTCCTTTTATACATACAAGGGTCATAATTCTTCTACCTTCAATGATGCAGAAAGCACAAGCAGATAGCAACTGTGTTATGAAGCATCTGCAACTGTAAAAGAGCACTCATCAGGAACACAAGACATCAAAACTCAAGCATATCAAGCAGACTGGGGACTAAATGAAAGGTGCCTCTGAAAACAAGTCTCAAGATATCTACAGCACAAATTGGGGAACAAGGGGGAAAGAAGATGGACTCCGTAAACATACTTGAATATCACAATTGTTTAGGCAATCATTTAGGAGAAAGCTGGTGGCATAACATAAACCAAAATCCTCCGTATCTTAAAACACTACATCCCAAAAATATCACAAGAACACACAAATAAACACAAACAGCCACCAGTCTTTAAAATGCCAGTTAAAAAGGTTTCAATCCCAGCCTGCAACGATAATCTCAGAACTGCACAACTGTTCATCTGTAGTGGAATTTAGAACCATAAATTAGACCATACCATTGTCTTGCAGGAAAATAAATTTTATACTACCTGGTAGTAGCATCAATGACACATTTTCTGGTCAAACCTGACATACTTCATAGTTCCTTTTGGTTGAAATAAACAAACAAGTAATATTTGGTCGTATTTTTTATACTGAAACTATACCTGCATTAGAAATTTAAAAATATTTTCTATGTCTACCTATGCATTTTAAAAAACTGGATTTAAATAAAAACTTCAAATTTTAGTCAATGCACAAAGGTCTTCTACAAAGACTAAATTAGATTCAGTGCTCTAATCCTACAAATAACATTAATCCTGTCAGAGAACACAGAAAAGTTGAAACTGAACTGTCTGCAAAATGGAAGTTTGTTTCCTATTCCTTTCCTTTTTAAGCTTTACCTTATGCAAATCATTTCTATACTTTCCTGAAAAAGTTAAGACCTAGCTGAAAATATCAGCAAATAGTCCTTGCAAAATCTCTTACTTACATGAGCAAGATTAAGTCAGCAGAAGGAAAACTGATTCATCTAGCATAGGTATATTCTAAGCTCCTAACATTAGTTCCATACCCAATTCAACAATAAATCCTTATTCTAATCAAAACAGTAGCTTAAAATTAGTCACTTTATGTACGACAAGACACTATCATACTGAAGCTTTATTTAATGCTGTGATTAGATATATGGCAGCAATACTGCCTAGGTAGGTTTATGCAGCAGCATTCTCAATACTCCCACCACCCTTCCCTTGTACAGCTATACTGGGAGTCAGATCAGAAAACAGATACAGCTGAAAAAAAGAAAAATCACACAGGGAGAGAACGTTATTTCTGAGCTACATCCATTCCCTGAACCATTTCACCCCACGGTTGTATAAACAGCAAGGGACAACATACCAACAGAAAGGAACAACATACCCTGCCACTGTAACAAAAAACAAACCAAAGAGACAAAGATCTGCCTGAAAGGCAACATGTAAATTGCAACACTTTGGAAAGAATGAGAGCAAATTTTATACAAACACAAGCATTTGCTGGAAGAGTAATAATTAATCGTTCACCACTAACCTGATTCACTGGCTCATTAAAATTGGTGATAAGTCCAGCACGCAATGTAGTTTTTTCTTCTTCAGAAAGGGCACTGTCAGGATATATTTATTAAAATATTATTTAATTTTAAACAAAAAACAACTATTAATTCATATTTAGAATTATTTTATCACTATTACTAGACACAGAAGTTGCACAATCACTTCCATTTGTGCATCTGTGTTTGATTGGAAGAAGATTACTTTTGCACACCGTTTTCTTGAAACTAATGTATTTCAGTTTGATAAACCATGAAGAGAACATCCCTTGTTTTTCCACTACCTCAAAGATACTTAAAAAGAGAGGGAACAGTGTGTGAAACAGACAAATATTTATGAGGCCTTTTAACATCAGGTTTTGATGTGACCTTTGTAAACAATGGCAAAAGAGAAAGTTCACAGAGTAAGGTACCCAGATATCTTATGAAAATGAGGGAAAACTGTACAAACTATAAACTGATTGTTATTAGACAGTTATGATACAGTTATTGCTGTGGACATTGATGACTCAAGCATGACTTCGTCCATGTATACTAATAGCGAGAAAAAGCCACCCAGTGTAAAGCAATCATGGTATCAGATTACAGCTCTTCTTAGAAAAGTAATATTCCTCTTCTGCTACAGATACTTTTCTCCAAGTCATACAGCTACACTTAAAAATATAGAAACTCTGAGTGAAAAATATATTCATATAGTCTTCAAAAATGCAAGGAAAACTAGTAAGAAGGATAAATTCTAAGCCATAAAGGTTAACTTTCATTCAAGTGAAGCTTTACACTATCCTTATACTCCTTTTAAATGACCTCTATCTGTTTAAGACTACAAGTTACAGTATCACATAAAGTCTGAAGTAGTGCAGGAATGATATGGTACTGTAGCCTTCTTTTAAGTTCCAAGCACAAAATGTAGCAAACTGCTTTTAAAAACGCTTTGTTGGTATTTATAGATTACACAGTCAGGAAAAAAAAATCCACTTTCATATACTGATAGCTTTATATAGTGAGATTAAAAACCAAGCCCAAAGCTCCCCACAACACAGCTTTTACATTAATCTAGACCAATTCTAAATATTCATCTCAAAATAATAAAAAAGAGGTAGGATTTACCCTAAAATCAAACACTTGCAACCCTATTCTAGATTTCACTTTTTGTCCCCTCTGCATATAACACAAGTACTCACTATTTCCTAAAGACTTGCCATTCTAAGTATAGCATAAAAGGGGGGCAAATTGTTGTTTCACTGCGGACCCAGAACTGCACAGTAAGTCTTACTTTCAAAGGTAATTTATAGCACTCAGGAACCACACTTAAATGACTTTTCATCAAGACTTAGGAGTTAAGACTTCTTACATAAAATTAAATTATGCCTGAAAACATTTTGGGTAAAGTTTACAAAGATTTCTGCAATAGTAAAAGCTTTTCTGCAAGGAATTATTTCAGTTATTAATCTAAAGCCACTAGACGACATTTTAGGGAAATAGATTTCTGTGGTCCCAATTTTTTTTTTTTAATCCAAAAATGCAGTGTATAATTTCCACACAAACAGGCATACTCTAAGTGGTTTCTTGAACTTGAAAGCTCTTATTAATACAATTATGAAATCTAATCTCAATTAAATGTAGCTTGTACAGTAACTCACTTTCAGGGATAACAGAAAGCACCTAAAACCTGGTCTGTAAAGAAAAAAAAACTGTTTGATTATATTATCTCATTTATCTTGTTTGTGAGCTCATGAGGCCCCTTGCCTGAATTACTTTTTCATAATTATACTGATCATATCATATGCATATTCCAAGAGCAGCAAGCATTCAATTTGTTAGCTACTACAAATAAAAATACTGTAACTAAGCTTTTGCCATTACAAATGAAACAAAGGAAAGAAAAGAAATAGACTCATGAGGATGAACCCCTCAAATACAGAAGCTTAAAATAAACAAAGTTGGCAAACAGTAACGAAAAAAAAAAGTCTAAGAAATTGATGCAGATGCAAGTGGTATACTGCATTATGTTACACAATCTCTAGTGGTTCACCACAGAAATTTACTGTTTATATAATACAACAGTGGCATCTGCTGGAGATATCTCTGCTGCTGCTACACATTCACCCCCTGCAGGAGCCACAGACAGAGCCACAGACAGCACCACAGACAGCAGTACCTTTACTCTCCTTTAATGCATAGCAAGAAGGGCCCACAACTCCATACAAAAGTTACAGGCAGGCTAGAGGTTAGGAAGAATGTGTATCATTCAGTGTTACTTCCCTGCAGCACTGAATTACACCAAAACAAAACCAAGTTCTTCTAGAGATGAACTTCTAAGTGTTTACGCTGTAGTCTTTCACAACCTGCAATTTAAAAGTTTCTGATCTTTTTCTGTGATTGTGGTATGGGGAAACACGTATCCAAATACTCTAAAAGTTATTTTGGAGCTTTTTAAAAAAATGTCTACTATTTCATAAACCAGAAATCCAAATCTGAAGAGTAATTTATAGTTATCATTCAAACAAATAAAAACATGGATTTGAGAAGTACTATTAAAGTTGCCAACATGGTAATAAAATCAGAGAACAAAAGTCCACAAAAGACAAGATTTAATAGTAATTATCTGTAAAATCAAAAATATGTTCAAGAAGCAGAACTCTTAATAACATCTGAATTCAAGAAAAGCCATTTCACAGGAAAATAAAAACACACACAAAATCATGAAGTGAGACCATGCTTTTAGGAGGCTGAATACAAATTTCAAAAAACAGGCCAAGCTGTGCCTGAAACAAGGCTAGGCTAACCCTAGGCTCTTCTCCACAGCAATCTGGAAATCTGCCTGAGAAAGCAGGAGGGAAAAAGCTTAACAACTCTATACTAATACACATATACAAAAACTCTAGTGCTTTATGTAATAATGAAGTAGTACTACACTATTTAAAATGTCCTGCAGACGCAGAATTTAATCACTTTTCCCCCTTTCAGAACTTACTGTGGTGCAACCCGTCTCCAGTAGCGATCAATTCCATTTTTGAAGTACAGCACAGCCAACCATCTTACGTTCACATCCAGTGTATGATTCGTAAAGATATTCTGTTTAAAAAAAAGAGATTAAGTTAAACACTTCTTAACACACCACAGGCAGAATAGAAACTGTATCAACACATGCACTGGCAGGTGTATAAATACACATACCTCTGTAGGTACAGGTGCATATAAGCAAAACGCATTAGTCAGCATTTGACAGTGTGTTAAACATCAACTTTTAAAGACTAAAAAAAATGTTTATCACTAGTCATAATACTTGATGTATTAAAAAAAACCCCCACATATAGGCCAAATGTATTTCTAATCTTGTTCAGCTGAGCAAGGAATAAAAGGGTAATAATTACTAGCACCAGTCAGTTATTACACCTTTAGTGACACAGCTCTCAGAAGTGTGTGGCACTGCACAACACAGTAATTTTTTTTTCTAGTCAGAACCCAGCTTTCAGGAGATTTCTTCATTATCTTCACACATGCCAGGAACTGTCCTGACTACCAATGTTGACTGCAAAACAGTGACCTGCTGGGACAGCAACTCTCAAATTTGCCTATGCTTATGTAGGAAATTAGTTTCTACTACTAAAACCCCATATATCTATACATATACATGTATCTGTATCTACACAGAGGGATTATTTTATACAGGAACATCTTCCTATTTTCAGCTGCATCAGACAGAACCTTCTCGAGGGGGTGAGACATTACTGCCTCCTTCAGGGAGTAAATAGGCATGAGCACAGTGGTCTTACACAGAGCATCGTACAAAAAGCATGCACCACTTTTATCGATTGTTTTTTGAAGCCCACTAAGAAGGGACATGAAAAAAGCAGGGATTCAGGCAAAGAGCATCTGCTACTTTTGGGTGCCATGTCTGAAGAACTATAAATAAACCCTTCAAAGAATTCAGCACTGTAGAAACCTGAGACCTCATCAAGCATTTTCACTATGAATTCAAGATTTAACCTTCTCTCAAACTTTATTTCTGTAATAACAGCTTTCTAAATATAATGGTCAACACTAAAAAAACCCTCACAAACTCCAATCACTAGAAAGCAAACAGACTTACATACCAACAGATCTATTAACTCCAAAACTAGAAACCTTTAGAAAAGCATCGAAAAGGGTGTAGCCCACTGATAAACACCACACAATATGAAAAGGATCTGTATGTAATAGCTATTCCTTTCTCAAAGCTTGTTTAGGAAGAGGGACTGAACCTCTGAAAGATCTGACCTTTCCCAAATGGAACTTAAGCACTTTACAATACATGTAATGCATTTTATAATATAAAATGTCCTGAAATTAAATTCAAATTACTGTCCCCCTCCTTCCCATCAGAAGCAAAGCTTCCTCAGATCAAAATACCATAGAACTAGATTGGGCCTGGATAAGAAACGCAAAAAAAGGCCAAGGTACCTACACAAGAGTCAACAAAACCTCTATGTATACTCTGTATCTATATATGAACTTCCCAAAACATAAAAGTATTTCATACAACATACTAGAGCTCTTTGACAAGGGTCCTCTTGGCCTTCTACTGCCTACAATTCACCACAGGCCCACACAGTGGAGCCCACCCCCTCATGCTGCTAGAAGCTGGATTTCCTTGTTTTCCTGAATGCCTGGGGAAAGAGCCTGCTCTGAGACATAGTGTTAACAACACCCACCACAGCACAGCAAAAGGGTACTAGTAGCTGGACCACAATGACTCAAAACTTCTCTCAGCCAGATGTCATGGTTCAACAGTACTCTAGAAAGCCACATTCAAAATTACTCAAAGTTTACTTAATAGCACTTTTCCACTGTATCTTACCAACAAGACTGAATAAAAACCTGGCTGTGTCTCCCACTGCTTCAGTTGTTCCTCCGCTGGCTTCAACACTGCAGTATCTTGACTAGTAGCTTGGGTCAAGACTTGCAAAACAATAGTGCTAGCACTATTGAGATCCATGAAAATCTGAGAACATTCGAAAAAGAGGAAAAACACTTAAGAAAAAAAGACTGCAAACGTAGGCAGGTATTTTCCATTCATATTATCTAAAAATCTCATGCTAATTTTTCATTAGACTGCACTGCATAAGATAGCATTACACCCACTCACAGGCAGTGTCAAGTACAGTGATTATTTTGCTTTCAGAAATCGCTTGGCAGAAAAAGCAAACATTAAGTCTATCGTTACAAGTGCATTTACTAGTGTGGTGGGTTAGTCCCAGACCGGAGTGGGGAAAACAACCACCTGGCCGCAGCTAACGATCCCCCCAGAGAGGGAGGATCCCAAAACTCACGGAGCGGAGATAACGATTTGGGCGTCCCAGGCTGAGAGAGAGAGAGCTGACCGGGGTGTGTGTGCAGGGGGGAGGAAGGCCTTGGAAGAGCGATGCCGAGCCAGGAGAGAGCACCGAAAAAGTGGAGCGGAGGCAAAAGAGAACACTCTTCCGGGTGTTCTTACCTATATATTGGGCATGACGTGCATGTTATGGAATAAATCATTGGCTATTCTGAGTTTGTCTTAACATAAGGGCAAACCCTATGCTAGCAACTGGCTGTGCCTCTTTGCTCGTCTGCTGACCTTGGCAGCAGAACAAAACATTATTCTCCTATCAGCTCCTCTGAGCATAAATCCAAAACACAGCCTCTTGCTAGCTATTTATGAAGGAGAAAAAAAAACCTCACAGAGTTAACTTTAAGCAGTCTTTAACCCACGACAACTAGATTTGAGAAATTACAGGAATATTATTATTTTAAATCAGTACCTCTCCTGTGAAGCACAGCAAACTCAGAGCAAAACCGCAACTAGTGATGACTTCAGCTGCAGGCAGAGCAAACCATGGAGCTGTCTGAAAGAGGCAAAAATGCAGAGTATTAACATTTGTGTATTTTCTGAATAGTTTTTCCCCAGAAGAGAAAATGAACCAGTTCAGACAGTTAAATTCTATAATTCAAATTGCTCTAGACATTTTATATTAAGAAGATGAATTATAGTTTCACAATTAGTCCTAAATGAAACTGAATTTTCCTCAATATATTTGTATTCCTTATCCACTTAGCATATGAAATGTTAATCAGCTGAGCTAAGAATGCCAGTTGCCTAATTTCCATTATAAATACATTCTTGTACTCTGTAAAGATAAAATAGAACATTTCTCTCCAGAGGACACAAGCAGAGATTACATTTATAATGACCACTGAAACAGCATTACAACAACTTAATGACAAACACATACAAAAGCAACTATGAAGTACGACAATTAGAACTGGATTTCTTCTATAAAAACTTCTGTTTATAACCTATGTAAACTTTTTGTAATACAGATACATATTAAATATTTATACACTTAATTTTCTAAACAAACAACCAAGCATGGCTTCTCTTCAGCAAACAGGCTGGAGGATTTGCTTTTGTTCAACACTTAAAAAAAAAGGTTTATTTTTCTAACTTTCAGAAAAAAACATGTAAAATTGTTACAGTGATAGTAAAAAGGCTGGAAAAATTAAATCTTATTCTGACACAGGGTTAAATTAAAAAAAAAAATCACCTTAACAACAAAACTAGCAACCAGATTAAAGATGTTTTACACCAGTAATAGCCCTGCACAATTAAAAAAAAAAAACGTAAGAACTCACAGTCTGTAAGTCTCAAATAACCCTCAACAAAAACAGAATAAAAATTTAAGGTCCTAAAGTTAAAGAAACCATACTTTCAGAACTACAAACCACAAAATCAGATCTCTCTTTACAGCAATAACTGAACAGAACAAGTAGCTCAACCTCTACATTGTACTTCCCATCATAGAATCATCATCATAGAATCATTAAGGTTGGAAAAGACCTCAAGGATCATAAAGTCCAACCATAAACCCACACCACCTAACTCACTAAACCATGCCCCTAAGCACCACATCTACACATGGTGCATCTTTTCACCTCTGCTTTAACCATCCTATGTATTGGGTTTATGTGGCATTGTTTTGGTAGCAGGGGCACCGCAGGGGCGGTAGCTTCTGTGAGAAGATGCCAGAAGCATCCCCCATGTCTGACAGCCAGTTTCAGCTGGCTGCAAGACTGACCTGCTGCTGGCCAAAGCTGAGCTCATCAGCGATGATAGTAGTGCCTCTGTGATCCCGTATTTCAGAAAGGGAAAAAACTGCTGCACAACAGCACCCAAGAGAGAGGATTGAGAGCATGACAGAGGAACAACTCTGCAGACACCAGGGTCGGTGCAGAAGTAGGGGGAGGAGGTGCTCCAGGTGCCGGAGCAGAGATTCCCCTGCAGCCCATGGTGCAGACCGTGGTGAGGCAGCAGCCCATGGAGGTCCATGGTGGAGCAGAGATCCACCTGCAACCTGTGGAAGACCCCATGCCAGAGATGACAGATGTGCCTAAAGGAGGCTGTGACCCCATGGAGACCCCGCACTGGAGCAGGCTCCTGGCAGGTCCTGTGGCCCGGTGGAGAGAGGAGCCCCATGACTTGCATCAGTCATTTCAACCTTTATCAATTTACAAATTCTCTAAAATCTCCCTGCAATTACGAAACCTTTGCATAACAAACTTAAACATTCAAATTCTTATCTGTCTTCTCAGAAGACCATTAATTTCCAGGGAACCAAGACCCCAATTTAGACTATAAAATCCATCCGGTACCGGTTTACCCTATGTGGAACGGTGCCTAGCATAAGGAATTGATGTCAAGGCAAGACTCTGATGGCAAGACTCTGTCAGCTTCATTTTTCAATCAAAAATAATAATAAATTAATAAATTCGTACATAATGTTGTTGACAGGACAGGTAGTAAAAAGAGGTCTTTAGGAGCAATTTCTCAGCCTAAGGTCCTCAAGATGTCAAAATATTTTGATATCTTGAGGACCTTAGGCCGCCTTCATCATTGCACAGCCAAAACTGGCCAGGAAGCAGCAATGTTAACAACCACAGTGGAAAACATGGGGTTAACTCGTAAGGATCACAATAGGAACTCTGTATTCACAGCACAAAGAAGTTGAGTAAAATAAGCACACAGAAGAAAAGCAGTGATAGAAGGTATATTCAGATTTTTCCAGTATAAACACTGTAGTACTGAAATACAGCGAACAATTTCAGAGCACCTAATTTAGAGGAAAAGGAGGACATGAGAAAAAAACATAACAGAAGTAGGTGTAGAGCTTGCACTAAGGAGGAAATCATAGCTCAACCCCTGTAAGATCGAAGCAACACTTGATGTTACGAACTGATTCCATTTACGTCCATTCAAAAATCAAATTACTTACTTTCAAAATAAATAGTCTTATCTTATACTGTCAAACAATACCTGATAAAGTATAATTCTGAAGTGCCTCCTCAACTGAAAAAAAAAAAAAAAAAAAAACAAAAGCAGACTATTGGTCTGATTATGAGATGAAAATGAAGAATAGAGAACTAACGAAAGTTAGTAAGTTGGCAGAGCGTGTGTGTAAATAAAACGGTAAACAACTTCCTCAACTTCAGGGAAGCTGATTTTAGGCCTTTTGCAGTGATCTCCAAGTAACAAGTCACCACAGAAAAACTGCATGTATAGCAACAGTGAATCCGCAGAGCATATCCAGATATTTGCTAAAGAGTCATTGCAAGGACATGTTAATTTGAGAGGAAAAAAAAAATAATATTATGCAGCACTCATATAAGAATTGATTTTGCACTAAAAATCTAAGATCATGTCAGCTAAACTAAATTATTTCTCAGCTACATTCAAATCTGATGCTGTGTCAAGCCATTACAGGTTCAGGTCCTAACAGGCAACTCCAGCTCTGATGAAGTTTCTCCTTACATTCCCTTTTTAAAAAGCAGGATTTCTGTTGGAAACTCATCCTCTGCTTGCTCATACCTCATGTGAATGGGATCCTCCTAAACCACAGTTTTAATTACTGCCTTGTACAGATACCTTTGTGAAATCAATTCCTGCAGACAGAACACAGCTGTACTTTATGAGTTTAAAAGCAGATCTCTCAAATCTTAACTTATTGTGACACTCCCCCACTACCATCCCTTTTTTTTTCTTCCCCTTAACTGATGGGCTAGGGCCTCTTCAGATCATCACTAACACAGAGGACATACAGATTTATGTTCTGCTCTTAGACCCCACAGAAGAGCAAAGGCCCATGGATATTGGCTCTAATATTGTGGAAGAGAGACAATCTTCATCTCTTACAAATCAGGCTTTTTTGTTGCAAAGCAAAGGCAGAAGGACATGGGTGACACCACAGATGGGTTACACCACTGGGACAAGGATTTTTCTCCAGTCTGTTGGGTACTTCTAGAGCTTAACTGACTGTTGAACAAATTCTAAAAGCCTGTCCCAGAGATGAAACAGAGGAGGTGAGTATTAAATAGCCGTTGTCTTTTGGGTACCTCCACAGCCATGAGGCATGTATAGAAATGCTGGTAGTCTGTCAAATTTGTAAGCAACATTTTCTTAGAAGGAAGGCAGGGTCTGCACTTTGATTCACAACAGCAAGAATTTCCAAGTTTGTTCATTGAGTAAGGTTAGCATTTCCCATCTTTACTTACTAATCTCAGACTGTGTCTTCAGAATAAACAATTTCAGGAATGTTGCTTGCTTCTGCTGCTCTTCTGTGGTTCATACCCACTGCTATCATAACTAAGAGGCAGACATGGGGAAGAAGGAAAACAAATCCCTCCCAAATTTCAATCTCTAACATTCTGTGATTCTGTGAACATTTTCTAATTGCAAATCCAAGCGTGGCTTTGTCACCATGCCAGAATTTCTTCTGGGAAAAGAGCCTAATCACACAGAACAAGGAAAAGCTGCTCTCCAAGACCCCACTGAATACACACAGAACTGAGACAACAACATATTCTCAAGTCTCAGTTGACAGGACAAAAAACAAACTCAGTTACATCTGGAAGATAAGCAACACACCAAATTCGACTCCACAGCATGAGATGGTGTGTTCAGAAACC